CTGAGACGCCCCAAAACTACAAATGAGCCTGAATATCGTGTCAGAAGTTTTTGACACAATCTACGCTTGCGTTGCGGTGTCCCAACTAACGCCAAGTCACCTTTTTCGAATAAAACCGGTTTGTGACGGTCGTCGTATCGTTCCTTCGAACGACGTTGAGAGGCCAGAATCCGACGACGAGCGATTCGACAGGCTTCTCCAGCGAGGCACAGGCTGTTTGATACAGAATCATTGTGTAGAATGAAGGGTAAGAAAGTGTCTAGAGGGCTTAGTGGCAACCAGGCGTACAACAGATAAAATGGGCATAAGTTCGTTGTCTCATGTTCCGCCGTGTTGTACGTGTACGTGATAAAAGGCAGCACTTCATCCCAGTTCTTTTGATTGAAAGAAAAGTACATGTCAAGCATGTTGGTCAGTGTTCTGTTTGTCCATTCAACGAGGCCATTCCTCTTCGGATGATACGGTGTGGAATGACGGAACTGTGTCGTGCACTTGGTAGTATTTCTTCAACGACATCAGCAGTGAACTGGCGGCCACGGTCGCTGGTAATAACACGCGGTGGGCCATGGCGAAGGACCACGGAGTGAAGCAAAAAGCCTGCCACGGATGCAGCGGTAGAAGAGGAATAGCAGCGGTTTCGGCATACCGCGTAAGATGATCTACGCAGACGATTATCCAACGGTTCTTATTGTTAGATAACGGAAATAGACCCATAATGTCAATTCCTAGTTGTTCAAAAGGTGTGCTGGGTGGTGTAAATGGCTTACGGGGACCTGGTGTTGTGGTGGCCGGGCGCTTGTGACGTTGGCACGTCTCGCAGCTAGCGACGTAACGCTTCGTTGTTTCGTACATCAGTAAAAGCGTTCCTGCGTGCTGTTCAGCGTTCGTATGGAGCCGAAATGACCGGGCGTCGCATCTTCATGCATGGCACGTAGAACATCAGAGCGAACGCTCTCAGGGACAACCAGAAGAAAACGTGCTCCAGGCCTGGAATAGTTAGTTCTTTAGAGCAACTTGTCTCGGACCGTAAAGCGACCGCTGTGTTGGGAGGCACGTGCGGCGGCAAAAAGAGGATCCAGGTTGAGATCGTTGCGTTGTTTTCTCTGGAAGTCAGCCGCGTTGGAGAACGTGCTTGTAACAGCAGCAAGGCAGTCGTCGAAATTCTCAGCATCGCAGTCGGTAGTCACAAGAGGAATCCGGCAGAGGCTTCTGCGTCAGTGTGACGACGGCCACTCTTGTATGACACCGTAAAGTCATATTTCTGAATTCGCAGTGCCCAACGTGCAAGCGGTCAGAGGGGTCACCCAAATAGACCAGCCAGCATAACGAATGGTGATCGGTAATTATCCTAAATGGCCTCTCGTAAAGATAAAAACGAAACTTCTGTACGGCGAAAACAGCTGCCAGACATTCCTGCTCCGTAATTGTGTAATTGCGTTCACATTTGCTCAGGCAACGCCTGGCATATGCCACGACATGCTCTGCGCCATTGTGACGTTGTACAAGCACCGCTCCTACACCGATACCACTAGCATCCGTGTGCACCTCAGTCTGGCAAAATGGATCGAAGTGACGCAACAGTGGTGCTGACGTTAGTACAAGCTTAAGTTGTGAGATTGCAGCGTCACACTCTGGTGTCCAGCTGAAGGTTGCATCCTGTCACAAGATGTTTGTCAGCGGGTACACGATCTTCGCAAATAGTGGAACAAAACGACGAAAATATGAGCATAGGCTTACAAATGAGCGAAGTTCTCGTGCGGACTGCCGTGATTTAAAAGAGCCCACTGCTTCTATCTTGCGAGGATCGGGTCTGACGCCATCCTTGTCGACCAAGTGCCTCAGCACGAGAGTTTGACGTTCGCCAAAGCGACATCTTTTAGAATTCAGAACTAGCCCAGCTTTTTCGATGCAGTGTAGAACAAGACTGAGATGGTTGTTATGTTGCTGAAACGTACGGCCAAATATCACAACATCGTCAAGGTAGCACATGCATATCTCCCATTTTAGACCACGTAATACTGTGTCCATAAATCTTTCAAAGGTGGCTGGAGCATTACAAAGGCCAAAAGGCATGACATTAAATTCAAATAAGCCATCCGGAGTTACGAAAGCAGTTTTGTCTTTGTTACCGGTTTCCATAGTTATTTGCTAATAGGCTGACCACAAATCAAGCGTTGAATAATAGTAAGCGGCATGCAAGCAATCTATGACGTCACAAATCCGCGGCAAGGGATATACATCTTTCATCGTCACAGTGGTTAGAGGCCTGTAATCTATGCAGAATCTCCAGGAACCATCCTTTTTCTTGACAAGAATGACCGGGGCTTCCCACGGGCTGGACGACTCTTGCACGACACCTTTGTTCAGCATGCCCTTTACTTGTTCGGCGATAACTTTGCGCTCAGAGGATGAAACTCGGTAGGGCTTTTGGCAGATGGTGTGTGCAGAGCAGGTGTCTATTCTGTGACTAGCGCGGGACGAGGGTAACTGAAGGGATGCATCTTTGTGTTCGAAGTCGAAAGCAGCAAAATGCCGGGAAAGGACCTGCACCAAAGCTTGCCTTTCCGTCGTACTGAGAGTCTTGCTGATCATACCGAGCATTATATAAATATTCATTATGGCCAATATCACAAGGAGAGGAAGAGGTGGTGACGTCCGTAGCTAGTGCTGTTATCGATCTGCATGAGGCTTCATCGAAAAGAGCTATCTTCATCCCGCGAGGAAGCACAAACTGCGAGGCAGAACAGTTCAACGCCCACAATGTTGCTACTCCTTTTCTCGTGCACACAGCAGGGCACAAAGATGTCCTTCTTGGAACAGTTCTTACGTAGAGGCCCCACTACGAGGTAAACACAAGCATCATCGACCGCTGTGGAAGAGACTCGAACGGGTGTCAGGCACCAAGATGGTGCTATCACTTCATCAATCACAATAAGTGTGTTCGTGTCTTCGCCACGGTAGTCTTCTTCGGAAAGCGACGGTAGAAACAAATTCTTTAATGGTATTTCCCCACTACCACAGTCGACGGAAGCACCGCATTGCTGCAGAAAATCGATACCAATAATGACATCGTGCGAACAACGAGATAGAACCAGAAATTTGGTTACAAATACTTTTCCAGCCAATGGAACACTGACAACACACACCAGGAGGATTAAGTCACTCGCCGCCTACACCACGAAAGGGGATTGTATCGTTTCATGAAAACATAACTTTGCGACCTAAGCAGTTCCTGAAGGCGAGGCTCATCACAGACACAGTCGCCCCAGTGGCAACTAACGCCATCGTCGGTATTCCATCAATCAACACCTTCACTTTGTTTTTAAGCATAACAATAGGCAGAGGTATATCTTGAAAAGGCCGTCCGGCGACCTCACCTCCATTGGCCGCGGATGCTAGTTTCCCGGCGGCGGAGAAGAAGAACGACGTAGAGGAGACGGCGAGCGACGAGAACGGTTGGAGGGTGGTGTCCAACTCCGCTCGGATTCTGGCGAATCACTGCGTCTGCTCTCGCACGAAAAACGGTCCCTTGGAAACAAGTCGGTTGTCCGCAGGTGATATGAAGCACCGGGTCTTCGTGGCGAAGACATGGTTGGTGTCCTTCGTGATTAGAGGCGTTGTTGGCGGCAATACCGATCAATATGCCCAGTGAAGCCACAGTTGTAGCACACGGGAGGGTCATGGTTTATACTATAGTCATCGGAACGAATCCTGGGCCGCTGCTGTCGGCGAGGAAGTTCGTTATCACGCGAAGAACGGATTTCTGCCACTCTCTAAAATCGATTGTATTCGTCGTAAGTTGCATCTTGGTAGTAAGGTCGGTACTGTCCTTGTCGCAGCGGGACGTAGTCCGGCTGAGAGTCCTGAGTATAAGAATGCGGCTGTCCTCGTCGTGATCGTGCGTCATAGGCAGGGCCTCTATCGTAGAGACGTGGCTGATACTGAGGTGCGGCATCGGAATACTCAATGCCCTCCGCCACTCGGTGCTAGGAGAATGAAGCAACGTTTCGCTCGAACTCTGGTGACTGGTAGGGGGATGAGTGCTTGGGCGGCGTGCCACTTGCGCGTACAGGCCGAGTTCTTCACGTAATATTTGCCGGATTGCTGATGCAAGATCAAGAGTCTTCGGAAGAAAACTTCAAAAGGAAATCGTGGGTGCCTTGTGTTAAAAGTCTTTCCACTTCGTAAAATACCAGTTGCGTAAAAACGTTTTTGTGCACCCGTGTGACACAGGTATCCCGGATGTGTAGCGGGTACCTCGCTTAATTATAGTAAGAATGAAAAATGGCATAGCGGGTGCTTCACTATTTTGTGAAAATTGCGCTGGACATGTAGGGGGTACCTTACATGCGCTGCGCCAGGACCGACACATGGACAGACAAGCCTAAACTCTACGGTGCTTTGCCGCTAAAATTTTGATTTATGGCGCGGTTGATACCATGAAAGTGTGCTTGCAATAGTTGCTCCAACAAAATGGGCTCTATAAAAAAAGTTCTTGCAGCTTTCGCAGTGACTGTGCAGCGCAATCCGCGCAGGCCTGTCAGTTTCTTGAGTTATAAAAAATGAATGGAGGCGGAAATGTTGTAGGCCCGTGTGCTCAGATTTAGGTGCACGTTAAAGAACCCCAGGTGGTCAAAATTTCCGGAGCCCTCCACTACGGCGTCTCTCATAATCAAGTGGTGGTTTTGGGACGCTAAATCCCACATATCAATCAATCAATCAGTTATAAAAAATGAACATAGGTTTCGTTCAGAACAAAGTGTTGAGGACTCATCTCCGCCATCTTATGTCTACATAGATTGTTTTCCTAAGATACTTTAGACAATAACTGAACAACGTGCGAATTTTGAAGATACCTTTATTGTAGATTTTTGTACTCGAGCCTACAAGGGCTTCTATTAACGAGACGAAATTAACAGGAATTTTTTTCCCTCTGGTTTCCCCACTGATCGCCATGTTGTAACCGGAGCTTCACTTCACGCCATGGCTTCTTCGTCTTTCTACTTTCTCTTAAGGCGCTTCGTGCCCTTGCCGTGCCTCGTGCGTCTCCCGTGTGCTGTTGAAGATGCGCCGCTCGAAGCCCTCTTTGACTTTGCGCGCCTTCCTCCGCGGCCCGAGGCCCCATGACTGTGGAAGCGGCGTCGCTTTTCGCCTCGCTTCGAGCGCTTGCTCGTTGAGGATGCAGAGCTATACCTGGCACGATGGCGGCTCTCTCGGGGTCTCTTCTTCCTGTCGCGGCTTTCTTCGGACCGCGTGGCCGAACTTGTGCGGCTACGGTGTTTACGCGTGCGTCCGGCTCGGTGACTGCGGGACGAGCTCCGTGATCGACCTCGGCTCACCTTCCTGCTGACTCGGCGACGGTTCAGAGCCACGCTAGTCGCATCGCCGGTGCTGCTAGGAGGGGAGCTCCTCGAGCGCTCCTTGCGGCTGGCTCTCGGGCCGTTCTTCGCAACAGCCCTGCTGGTTGACGGCTTTTGGTCATCGGGCTCCGGTGCATCTGCTTTTTTTCGCGACTTCCGAGCCACCGTAGTCGCAAGAGGCGTCGGTGCTAGCGGCTCCACCACCACGGCCTTCGGTGGTCGACCTCGTGGCCGCTTGGCAGCTGGAGCCTCGTTTGCAGGCCCGGTGCCATTGTCGGTTGAAGCAGCGGCAGCCTTGCGCTTAGCTTGCCGACCAGCCTTCGGAGGATTCTCGTCGGCTTCCGCCTGCTTCTTTGGCATGGCGGCGTCGCTCCAAGTTCCGTCCTACCACCAGCCGTCGACCACGCGCAGCGCGCTGTCGTCTTCAGCGTTGCCGCTCACCGGTTAGAGGGGCCCCCAGAAGACGGCTTCGGCGAGATCCCAGGCAGCCAGCCGGGCTCAGCAAGTGCCACCGACTGAGGCCGCGTTCTGCTCTCGTGCACCGCGTGGGGCCATTTCATCTTCGTCGTCTCGTTGATATCTACAGCCAGGACAGTTTAATCGACGGCCCAATGAGCAATATGAATAATCGCATTGCAACCCATACTTATAAATGTTCGTGTTATTTCAATAACGGAAGGCATTTAGTATACATGGTGCAAAACTTCGAATTGAAATGCCAGAAACGGAGTGAATTTTATCCGGGCCTTTGGTCGATCTTGAAAACAATAATGTTAACATAATAGTCACAATACTATATTCAAAAACGAGCCCTACCAACTTAGTATAAGACCAAGCATCGCTCTGAACAATGTTTTGAGAAAAAAAGAAAGTAAATCGACAGTTGCTTGAGTCTGTTTCTCTAAACGTGCTCTCGCCTTCTATCCTTTCAATTTCTTTCCCTTTTTTGTATTTCTCTCTTTCGCTGTCTTTCTAGCTCTTTCCGGATACTCGTCTTCTCGTGCATCAGAGTTGTTACAACGACCGCCGTAAAAATAGGTGCACATGTTCTGGGACCGAAGCAGGAGTTCGAGAAATGGAAGACAATAAAGAGGACGACGAGAAGGCTCGCCAGTGCATGTTCATGATAGGGTCAGGATACGCGGCACAACAAAATTCATAATAATAATAATAGCAATAATAATGATGATAATAATGTAATATTACCTGGGGTGTTACGTTTAAAATACCCGGTATGATTTTGAAAAACGCCGTATATTTTTAGAGTCGTCTCCATCCTAAAGGAGAACGGGGAGAGGGCGAGTTGCCCTCTCCCCGTGCCTTGTTAGGATAGAGAGAAAGTAAGAACCATGCACACGCTGGCGCTAAAGAAATAGGTTGTAGCCTTGAAGAAGACAGGTCCGCTTGTCAAATCGTCGGCTGCAGCACGCAACCCTTGTGAATTTGTTCTTTACATTAAAAACTTTGCAAGATCAGGTATTGCTAGATCGTTTTTTAACTGTATATGAATATCTTGTATAGTGCGAGCAATGTCGTTAACGCAGGTAAGGCAGTTTTGTATGTGTTACAGAAAAAAACTTTACTAAATACGCTACCGGTTATACGCTAACGAAAAAGGAAGGTGCTACCGCAGTGCGTTACCCAGAAGTTAACGCGTTACCGTCACCGTGGCCTAAAAAAAAAAGTAATTGACGTTACTCGCGCTGTTGCTCCATCGTCAAAAATTCTTTCGTCTTCGCCTCGAGAACCTACATGGCTACTTTATAAAACATATATTTATATTTCACATCAAAGTTGTCATCTTAATCAAGATTCAACCCCGAACACCAATTAAACAATTATAATTGGACAAATCTGGCGAATGTTTTTTTTTGTACTCTAGTCACAGTATTCTGTATCTTTGCATGTCATGACTTCTAACTCTCTTGAACATTTTTAGAGGTCTCATTAGGCATCAAGTAATCCATTTCAGCATTTACGCTTCTTGAAATAGAAACAAACACCACAAAACAAACATGCAGTATTTATGACAGCTTGTTTATACTGATACAAATCACTACGCAAAATGTGCAGCAATAGAGATGCCTTTAAATGGCATAAATCTGGGGGAAAGTATTACCACTCACTATTTTTTTTACATTGACCTGTATAATCATCCTAAATATGGTGACTGCGTACATGAAAGGATTCGTCAGCCTCGTTTGCTCAGTTCAATAACCGTAAACGCTGACGGAGTTCTAAATATAAGAAGTAAAACTAATTTCGAATACGAAGTTAATAAACATGCGCTAGAGTAAAACAGGAATATTTTCCTAATATAACTACAATGCGATCGATATATGAGACATCTTCTTTAGCTTTAATCGGGCAGCTTGACTCGCCTATTAGGGAATACGCCCACACGTAGGCTTAATATGAGTACGACGAGTGCACTATACAGTGCTACTGTATTAACTTCGGGCTAAAGCGGGTGAAAGCGCGGAGAGGTTTACTTCAGCCAACTCCACTCTTGGTGATGCCATGTGGTACAAACGGGAACCAGAACAGCCACGCGTCTCTTTTGCGATTATTCTCTGTATACGTGTTTGCGAAGAAGTCATTCTCTGTTATGCTGGGGCTCACAATGAGCCTTGGCGGCCGCAAGCGGCACAGAACTGCACAGCTCCTTTTCGACGGCCACGAGAACCGCATTACACTTCGCTTCATCGGCAATCAACAACTTGATTCTCGATTTCAACGTAGCCATGACTCGAGCAAATGCACTTTAAAAACCTTTGGCTATTTGCTTCTCATGGTAGTTTCTACCGCGAAAAAAAAGGATCCTATACGCTGTTGCTTTGTCAACGCTTCACGGGCCAAGAGCAGTCCGCTGCAGCGACAGGATAATATCGGGGCCAGCTCTCACAAAGGCGCTCCCACAAGACGATTCAACTTCATGTAAGATTTCAATGGAGGTCGAATGAGAAATAACGAGTAACGTGACAACTCAGGTTACTGAAAACTACAACGAAAGCACGCTAACCGTTAGAGATCCGAAACAGTAACCAGTACTTAAGTTAATTACCAAAACGTCAAGCCATTACCAGTAGTACTGTTGTAATGTTTCGTAAGAGAAGTGTAGAAATCCGTCAAGTGTCACACCACCTGAATTGCGCATCGTGTGGGTGGCTGCAGTAAAGAGACATTCACTACCAATCTTCCAAAAAGAAGTATTAGAAATGCTCACAAAAGGCATCAACGAAGTACGCAAAGAGAGAGAGAGAGAGAGAGAGAAAGGAAAGGGAGAAATGCAGAGAGTTCTATCAGATTTGTAGTATCGAGTTTGCTACCGTTCACTAAGGGAACGGGGTGCGCGTGTTTCGTAACGGACGTGCATCGTCATCAATTCGTAAATGGAAGAATAAAGTCGTAGTGGGCACTTTTGAACTGTACTTACGATATAGCATTCTCTTGCCCCGCCACGATGGTCTAGTGGCTAAGGTACTCGTCTGCTGACCCGCAGGTCACTGCATTGTATCCCGGCTGCGGCGGCTGCATTTTCGGTGGAGACGAAAATGCTGTAGGCCCATGTGCTAGGGTTTGGGTGCTCATTAAAGAGTCTCAGGTGGTCGAAATTTCCGGAGCCCTTCTCTACGGCGTCTGTCATAATCATAATGTATACTTGGGACGTAACCCCACGTATCAATAAATTAGTATAGCATTGTACGAGAGCGTGAGACAGCCGCTTAGGATAAGACGTTCGATTCCTTGTGACACGGATGAACTGTCTAACGAGAAGTGAAGCTAGCCAAGGGATTGAGAAGACGACAACGGGTGTTGTTAACTCAATTGAGTCTTCAAGGCGAAGCTCAAGCGTTCTGCAATGTTTCAAAGCGCAACTCTAAGACGCCCGTTCGTGCATCGAGTGGTGTGACCGCTATCGGCGAGACCGACCGAGCGAACGAGTTTTAAAGCGAGAGAGACAGCCCCGTGAAGATTTACATTATGATAGTAAGCGAGCCGCTGTGTAAACGCCGGGAAGCCTCCTTCCTTCCTTCCTTCCTTCCTTCCTTCCTTCCTTCCTTCCTTCCTTCCTTCCTTCCTTCCTTCCTTCCTTCCTTCCTTCCTTCCTTCCTTCCTTCCTTCCTTCTTTCCTTCCCTCCTTGCTTTCCTCTTCCTTTCCTCCATTCCTTCCTTCTTTCCTTCCTTCTTTTTTTTTAAGATTATCAATGAACGTTGCAGTAATATTGTTATTTAGCTCCACCTTCAGAGAGTTTTAGTCGCAGGGATTTCCGCTCTGCTATGTCTGATTAGATAAGCGAACCAAAAAGATCCATGCTCACTTAGTTCATTTTTATGTCTGCATATATTCTTCCTTCAAAATCCGCCATTAATTTCGATATAGTCCAACCTTTCGCGCGGTAAGCGTTTTCAATGATGCGATGTTCTAGCTTTCACTTAATTTGGCAGCTTTGTTCAACTTGAAAGGCGTAACCTCAAACATCCTGCCACCCGAATCTTGGTCCATCTCCTTTGTGGTTGAGTGCCATGAGAGAGAGAGGAGACCATCCTCTTTATAATCATCATGCACATGCAAGAGTTTGATGTGGAAAAACAAAAATTAACATCAGAGTCACGCCACCATTTTAGAAAAAAGTTTTTTTCACTTTATACCATTATAGCAGGCGTCACAAAGAACAATGTTTCGAAAGAAAAAAAATCAATGCTTACTTCTCTCTGTACATGTTTTTTCATCAAGCTTCTATAATTTTCTCTCTTTCTTTCCTTTCCTTTCTCGGTTTCGTAGTCTATCTGTTTTTTTTTTTTTGTATCATATGTCTAAGTACTCGTTCTCTATAGCTCATCAGTTATTGCAACCCCTGCCGGACAACTAGGCGCGCATGTTCAGAAAGCGAAGCAGAAGACCAAGAACAAGAAGACAATATTGAAGAAAACCAAGCGAGTGCTTGCCCATCGATGATTTTTTTTTATTTTTCATGTCACGCGATGCGGCATCACGAGAATCTTAGTAACAATATTATCTGGGCGTTTAAGCACCAACTACGCGATACCATTTTAACGAAGAGCTTATTCCGCACGAGCTGCGGCGTCGACGTCGTGCCAGCTCCGTGTGAGGATCGAACCCAGGTGCGGCAAAGTGGGTGTTCTACCTCATAGCCACGCATGTGCTTCGAAATGCGGCGAATATAACCTTCATGCTTTACAAAAGAATGGGTCTTCTATACAGGATTCACAATACAGTACATAATATCGCAGTTATATTGCATGGCACAAGCATACAATGTCATTGAGTGTCATAACTTGTGATTATCGTCGGTGGTTTCAAGCCGGCCACCCATTGCAAAGCACGCAAACGTTAC